AGTAAGGCACCTGTTACTACTAGCTTCTTGTTACTAGTAGTAAGGCACTTGTTACTAGAAGCGATGCACTTGTTCCCAGTGCGGTGGGACATCGAGAGTGACATCGCCACAAACAATCCTGTGTCCCTCATGTCAACTCGTGACTACAGCTGCCTCCCACATGGTACATGGTAGGTCAGCAAGGTCCTCAAGGTCTGAGGTATCATTATGGCATTATGCGGCTTCCCCTGATTTTTACTTGTGTTTAAATGTGATTTCCATATCCAAATTCTTTCATTTGTAATTGAGCCCTTGGTTTTATGAGATTGTGCCGACCTTGGCAAACATCAGAATTTGGTTAATCTCCGTAGGATATTAACTCCCACAAGACGAGGCAATGACAACAACGACAGGGAATGCCACATTTATGAAAGGGGGTGCCTTTTGTGAGCTTCAGATTGTAGTTTCTTTAAGAATGAATTGAGTAGGAAATCTAACAACCCTGATCTGAACCCTGGAGAGTGCCAGAGGAAAGGAGCAACAGGCATGCAACCTTGCAGTACAAGAACCCTCCTACAATATCTAAAATCATATCGACATGGTTTGCTTGATAAACTTATCAGATGAGCTCATGATACTGCGCTCGGCAACCTGATGTCAGGCACGACCAAATTGGAGATCGGCATGGCGGTAAGCAAGATGGGCCCCGGGCTGAGCAAAGGCTACTTCGACATCGAAGCAGTTACAGCCCCAATCGGAATGCAACGGACGCTGCGACACCTTCTGTCCTGAAGAAGGTGGAGGCCATCGCTAGTAGGTTGGAGGCCATTCCTATTGGGTTGGAGGACATCGCTAGTAGGAGCAAGGAAGCTACTAGGGGCTCCTGGCCTTACTACTAGGAGCAAGGAAGCTACGAACGGAGCAAAGGGCATCGCTAGTAGGACAAGCTGCGCGAAAGCACCGAGGCATGGCACTCATCGCTACTATGTCAGCCGATTGGGTGGGAAAGGAAATTGGCATGCACGAGCGTTTGGAGCCTAAGAGCGTTCTTGTTACTAGAAGCGATGCACTTGTTACCAGTAGCTTCTTGTTACTAGTAGTAAGGCGCTTGCTCCTAGTAGCGATGCCAGGAGCTACTAGTAGCTTCTTGTTCCTAGTAGCGATGCACCTGTTACTAGTAGCGTCCTTGCTCCTAGTAGTAAGGCCAGGAGCCCCTAGTAGCGTCCTTGCTCCTACTAGCGAGCGTTTGGAGCCTAAGCGTTGCTTTTGCGTTTGAGAGTAGGAGCCCAAGAAATGAATGAGGCAAACACGAGCTTGGTTTGGCTTCCAGAATTGCTGCAAAGGCTGCATGAAAGCGAGTTTGAACTACATGTATTTTTTCTGCAAGTAAGTTGTATTGTGGCAATACTGTATCTTTTTCTGCGCAGTGGTCAATGCAGGCCTGCCAATGACCTTCATGGGCATCGCCGACACGTTGGATGTCTAAAGATTAAAGTACGGAGCTACCGACCAGAGAACACTAAGCACTGAGAGCGATGGCCTCCAACCTACAAACGCTGGCCTCCAACCCACTAGCGATGGCCTCCAGCCTAGTAGCGATGGCCTCCAACCTAGTAGCGATGGCCTCCAACCTACTAGCGATGGCCTCCAACCCACTTGCTA